CAAACAATCGTCGCACTCGCGACTTTGGCACCCACATCGCTATTAACAGTCATAACTTCGAAGTCGTATATAATTTCGTCTATCTGGGAACCAGTATTAACACCAACCATGAAGTCACACTCGAAATCTAACGCAGAATAACTGTTGCGAACAGATGCTACTTTGGATTGAATAGGCAAATGAGAAGTGAGTCCTCACTCTACGAACAAAAACCAAACTCTATAAATTACTCATTATTCCCGTCCTGCTATATGGTGCAGAGTCATGGACGATGAGGACAACTGATGAGTAAAGATTGCGAGTTTTCGAGCGAAAAGTTCTGCGGAAGACTTATGGTCCGCTTTGACAGTGGCGAATGTCGCATTCGATGGAACGATAAGCTATATGAGATGTACGACGACATTGACATAGTTCAGCGAATTAAAAGTCAGCGGCTACATTGGCTAGGTCGTGTCGTCCGTATGGATGAAAATACTCCAGCTCTGAATGTATTCGATGCAGTACGCGCGAGGAAAACAGAGGAAGAATAAGGCCTTCACGCCATTGGAGAGATCGAAAGCAAACTAAAGAAGAAACGACTGACGCTCTGTTGTTAACTCGGTTATAACCTCGTAAGCGGTGTCTACGCCAGTGAAGAAGGAGAAGAAGTACAATAAATTGTGGCACACAATTGTAAAACCCACTGTAAATATTGCACTGAAACACAAAATCCAACAACAACAATTACAAACCGACAGTATTGGTAAACAGCGCATTGAAATACAATAAATTCAGCGAAAAATAAAGAAAGTAGCTGTGAATGACATCGCCAACGACCCACGACATCCTGCTGTCTTGCTGTTGCTGTGGCAAACCGCATTACTGCAGTGAAACCGCACATTTGTTGGTATCGCACGACAGAACCAACCGAAGCGGTGTCTATTGCGGCAGCCTCGTGGAAGCAGATCAGCCGCAATCGAATGTGTAATTCCAGCATCGTTAACGTGTTGGCTTAAATGGTTAGGCGGCTATTGATGGCTGTCGACTATTTCTTTATCTTACACCTTGTATAGTTGTTGTTCTCTATATTTGTGCGCTGCCTGTTTGCCCACCGTCGATTTGGTCAATCCAAACAATTTCCGCATTTCCAATACTCAAACTAACATACATACATTTGCGCTGATAACTCAACAGTTGACAATCACACGAAAGCGCAGCTCAGCGTGTTGCCGCCAACAACARCAACAACTATAAGTGAAAAGTTCAATTTATCTAGCGCGCCGCCGCGTCCCGCAATGTGGCATGCTCAGTGTCCATTGACCAAAAATGGTAGTTAACAACAAAAAAAAAATAAAAAAAAAAGAATAAAAAATAACAACGTTGCAACAACAACAAACAACATTGGTACAAATAATTGTGCCATAACTGAGCAAGCCAAGAAAGGAAATATGTGTCGCAAGCACGCGTGCGGAGAAGGATGCAGCAGGCCTATTTGTAAAAGCTGAATTAAACAAAGAAAGAAAATCACTAATAACGAGCTTTGACCGTTGTCCAGCTCTAAATAGACAAATGGCTCAATGGAACCGATACAGCTGTGCATGTTGTGAGTTAAGTGCGGACTCTTTCAAGTGTCTTGAGTTTAAGAACTGCAATAACTGGCGATTAAATTACGAACGGGCAATATTTTCGAAAAGTTTCAAGTTTGATCAGCAATGAAAACTTAACATATCGCTTGTAATTTAACTTAAATTGTGACAAAAAAGTACCCGAAAATTGTAAAGAAAACGCAAAATATTTACTTATTCATCAATATTTATTTTGTCGCCTTCAAAGTAATCCCCACTAGATCTAATACAATTCCGCCAACGATTTTTCCAGTACCCGAAGCCTTTTTGACTTTTGGATGGCCTTCAGCTCCTTCACCGAATTATCTCTTCGTTCGACTGAAAACATATTATCATAGTGTAAAATCCATGAATCGTTCTACCACAATTCTAGCCGTTTTCGACGGATGTTCTTACGCAAACGCCTCAATGCGGCTAGATGGAACTCCTTGTTGACCGTTTGTCCATCTGGAGCAAAATCATAATGCACCAAACCACGAATATGAAACATAAACAATGAGCATCACCTTGATTTTGTGCGGATTTGGCATGTTTTTTTGGTTTTATCACGTTTTGTTCTCTCCATTCCGATTATTGTTGAATTGTTTGCATGACAAACCTATGTCTCGTCGGCAATTATAATGCTTTCCATGAATGTGGCCTCGGAATCGCACCGATCAAGCATGTGCCTTGGTGAACTTTTTGAAAAAAAATTCAACTTTATCGGGACGAGTGGAGCATGAATGCGTTTCATACCTAAGATATTCACCAAAATCATTCGAAGGAACTCGTGAAAGATGTCGAGCTCTCTTACCATCTCTTTAACAGTTGCCTGACGATTTTCAAGCACCATACCCTTCACGTTTTTTAAATTTTCATCAGTGGTGGTTCAGAACGAGGTAAAGATCTCTCGACCGTCTTTGAAGGCTTTGTACCACTCGTAATCATGTGTTTTTGATCAAATTGAGTTCCCATATGCCATTTCCAACATTCGCAATGATTCTGCATACGAAATGTGGTTAGAAATACAAAATTGGAGATAAATTTCCCGTTCGATATTTTTATTTAAAAAAATCGAAAATAGTTATGTATTGGTGAAAGCATAATAAGCAGATTGGAGCGAACTCCAAGGGCTAACTGACTACCAGATTTAAGTCTCCAGCCAAACCTTGTTGATTTTGTTGCTACCAGTTGAACACCTATCAAACTGTTCAACTGTATTTTCATTAGAAGGAAACTCATTCAAATACTATAATGTAATATCATATCAAATATTTCCAAACTAACTAATAAGCAGCGGTTTGTTGGATATTTGTATTTAATTTCCTAATGCCGCTATCATAGTAACGTGGCTTATTGGCAAAAATCTACGAGAGTTGATTTTCACATGCTTCTCGTGAGGCGATTTTTCCGACAATCAAAAAATACCTCTTAGGTAGGAGCAGGTAGCAATCACTTGGTTCTAGGTCCATACAATAAGAAGTATTTATGTCTACCTTACAATCAAGCTTCCGGCGAGTCACTGTCGCAGTGTGTGGTCTGGCGTTATCTTAATGGAACACCAGTCCTCTCCTTTGGTCAAAGCTGGGTGCTTCTGGAAATCTTCCTCACGGTCGAATTGTAAAGATCCGAATTGAGAGCTTTCCCATAGAGAGCAGCTCATAGTAGATGATCCCCTGACTATCCCTCCAAATCTTCCAGACCGTCAATCATGGCTTACCCACCGTTTGTGCCGGCTCATCGTGATTCAACCACGACCGTTTTCTGGTGACATTGTTGTAATTGACTCGCCTTTCATCGCCTGTAACTATCCGCTTGAGAAATGACTCGATTTTATTGCGAATCAGCAGTGATTTGCAGTTGGATATTTGGTAGATGAGCTTTACGTTAACTCGTATGGCGAAAATGAAATTCCATTTGATTCTCTTTCCAGACCTCATTATTTATTGCTAACTTTTTATAGGAAATATGCCAATATGCGAGTTATCGTAATGGAAATAAGAAAAAAAGAGAGTGTTTTTCTAATAACGGAGAAGTTTTGTGCCTAAAATGGATAAAAAATCAAATTGAAGTAAGAACTGAAGCCGCTTGACCACCAGAATCGTATATGTTCGTAAATTGGGCTAAGCAACAACTTGAAAAAGATCCGGATTTTCATCGAAAAATTATCTTTAACGTTTAGGCTAATTTCTGGCTGAATGGTTTTCTCAATAAGCAATATATTCGTTATTGGTCAGGTAGCAATCCACACGTACTCCATGAGTAACTATTGCATCCCGAAAAAATCACATTTTAGTGCGGTTTATAGGTCGGCGGTATCATTGGGCCATAATGATCAAGAACGGCACGTTACTGTCAATGGGAATCGTTACAGCTCAATGATAACCGAATATTTTTGGCCCGAATTGGATGATATGGACTTGGAAAATATGTGGTTCTAACAAGACGGCGCCACAAGCCACAGACGAATGCCACAATCGATTTATTGAAAGCCAAGTTTGGTGAACGTGTTAACTCACGAAATGGCCCAATCAATTGGCCGCCTCGGTCGTGCGACTTGACGCCGTTAGACCATTTCGTGTGGGACTAGGTCAAGTCTATGGTCTATGCTAACAAGCCAGCGACGATTGATGAACTTCGTACGAATATCGAACTTGAAATTCAGGGATATCGGCCGATTTATGCTTGAAAACCGTCGAAAATTGGATTCAGCATCTGAACGTCTGCAAGCGTGCCCGTGGTGATCATGCAAAAGAAACCGAATTCCATATATAATGGTATCGAATGTACTTTGACAGGAATGAAGACTTTCATTAACATCCCAAATCGTGTTTGTAGCGCTCTTATTGAAAATCCTATGGAATGGTGGTAATATATAAGCTACCTTAACGAAAGAGTATTTTAGAGAGCATTTTATTCTGTTAATAGTATGTGGTATTACCAAAAATATATAATATTTTCACCTTACTACCCGTATCTTCCAAATCCCTTTTATCCAGTATATAAAACAATTTATCAAATCCGATACTAAATATTTGGACTGTTTTAAATTGCTGCGACTAATTTTGCTCTTTTCTCAGTGATATTTAATAGAAATTTATTTATTAGCATAAGCTTAGTTAAGTCATTATCTGAAACAGCTCGAGTAGACACAGCGAGCGTTGAGAATATCAAGAAACGCGCAGCGTTGAGCAAAGATCTTGGCGGCTGACAAGCGTTTTGTTTATACCATATCTGCCAGATCGACGCAAGATCAGCAGCAACAATTGAACAATCGACTGACTAGACGACTAAGTGACTGCCTGACTGAGAGTTCGCGCAATAGCAATAGCAACAATAAAAGCTTTAGCAAACAGTTGAAAACATAATAAACAAATTGAAAAGTTTCGCTACACGTAGTACACGCCAGCTGCCAACGGAACGTCGAGCTGAAAACGCTCAGTCGTGAATTGAATTACGTTATGAACGGACACAGCGTACTAAAGCGGTTTAGCATTTGAGAAGCAAGTTTCGAAAAACGGTTGCGTTTGTTGATATTCGAAATATTCCTCATACAAAATAAATTGCGTAAATAAAAGCAGAGGTGTTGAAGGTCGCAACCGATGACTAAATTAGCGCAGATGTTGTTGATCAATAGCAAATAACGCAATAAAACAAGTCAAGTCTGTTAGAAGTCCAAGTGAGGAAAAATCAAAACGCGCAGTACTCGTATTTTCAAGTTCAGTGCAAACGTGTTGCCGAGGAAATAAATAAATTAGCATTAGCTAAGTGCTTCAATTGTATACGAAAAAAATAACAACAATTCTAATACAGAATACAAAACGTTGGTGAATTGTGAAAACTAGAAGAGAATCTCAACGAAAAATTGCAAATTAAACCAAGAGCGCAGAAATATAAAGAGGATGTAAGTGCTAAACAAAAAATAAAATCAATAAACAAATAAATAATAGCCAATAACTCAAAAAGGTATACTGTACATATGTATACTATATGAAAGTGGATTTTGTACATGACTATGGAATTCAAATAAATCACTATGATTGATACATAGTGCTTATTAAAAAATTAAAACTATAACGTAATAGTACTTTACGAAGTACCGGTATAAAATAAGCGTTTTGTTTGTGAGAATGAAACGATCTTTTGCATGTTGCTTCCGATAGAGCAGCACTTTTATTTAAAACGAAAAAAAAACAAGTGTTCGATACCAACACATTTGTACCTGAGCTAAAAGTTATTCTCAGTGAAAAGATCCCAATGAGCTCCAAACCGCAATTGTCCTAACTAAAGATGAACCATTTCTTTTTTAAAGAAAAAACACAAGTACTTCAAATTAAATGGGGAATGTTTATTATCATTCGAAAGAACATTCTTTGGCGTTTATTTTTTGAAGATTACCTCTTTCACACGTTGTCATCGGCTACGGCTCATATGGTCCATCCCTTAAGTCCAATTTTCGATAACTTGTTCGAGCATTTCGTCTAGTAACTGGCGAATGCGTTATGTTTCATTCACTTTATATATCCCCACAGGAAAAAGTCTAACGGTATGATATCACATGATATTGGAGACCAATTGACCGACCAAAAACGTGAAATTATCTGCTCACCAAAGTGTTCACTCAATAAATCCATTAATTGATGCGATGTGTAGGAAGTTGAAACCAAATGTCGCCGAGACCACGAGCTTCAATTTCAGGCATCCAATAGTCGGTAATCAAGTGGCGATAACGGTCACCATTGACAGTTGCGCTCTCATCGGCATCATTTTTGAAGAAATATGGACCGATGATTCTACCGGCCCACAAACCACACTAAAGCGTTGGGCCTCATCGCTGAACAAAATTTGACTCGAAAACATCACATCTTCTTGGCACTTTTTAAGAGTCCGTAGAAAGAACCGATATCCCTTGGGAAGGTCCAAGGTCTCCGTGTACACTCTCAACTACGGCTGCTATATTTTCTTCACTGCGTGCTGAGCGTGGTCTATTCGGTCGAATATTATCCAATAATGAATGCTGAGTCTCAAGATAGGTGCTGGTGTTGCGAATATTATGCTGAGTAAGCCGGTTATATTGATCATAAGTTTAGCGAAGCACATTCTTTACAGAACGTGAATTTTCGTAATAAAGTTGAACGATCTTTAAACATTGTTCAGTCTTTCCTGGATAAAATCCCAACAAGACTGATCAAAAATAACATGAAAGCTTGGCAAAAGTATCTCTACTTGAAACACCGGTAATATACTAAAATGATACGATCGGTGCAAATTCTTCGAAGATTACAGCATTAACTTAGACCATGCCAAATTTCTTGGATATATCTCGTCAAATTAAAAAGTCTTCCTTACAAGCACTTGATTCCGACCGTACTGTTTGAGCTATTCATGTTGATCACTTATCTATACACATAATTTATAGGCTATGCGACTTTTCTCCTTCAGGGTATAAACATTCAAATTTTGGAGGTTAAGGAACTAACCTAGATACCGGCGGTTCCGACAAATCGGCAGCTTCTAAGGGAGAATTTTAGATCGATATCTCAAAAAATGTGCACTAGTTATATATATGGCTAAATCGACTCAGCTTGTTATGCTGATCATTTTTATATGTACATTAGGGTTTTTTTTTTAATTTTTTTTTTTATTTCAAAATGGCTTCCCTGGAGCGGTTATTTGAGTTCGCTGACTAGCCAGAAGTTACATGAAGCTAAATCAGGCGAATACGTTGATTGGAATAATATATTGAATGAAAATTTGGGGTAAAACTCACGAATAATCAATGTATCTGACGGTGCTTCATCCTGGTGCAATAACCATAATTCCGGCCTCTTTTAACGAATAGCTTTGCGGAAATGACGCATAACAAACAAATAGTATTCCTTGTTGACACTTTGGGCGATCAGAAGGTACTCCGAGTGCACCATACCTTGATAATCGAAGAAAACTGTCAACATAACCTTGAGTTTTGACCGGCTTTGAGTGTTTTTTTCGGCTTCGGCTCATCTTTGCCACGATATTCGGCCTATTTATCGTCCGTTTCCGTGTCGTAACCATAGATCTCTCATCGTCAGTAACAATACCTTTCATTATAATTTATAAGATCTCTGAAATAGCTTTCTAGGTGTTACAAACCATATATATTTGTTTAAGCTATAACAATTAATTTACATATTGATAAGTTCTAAATGGCTTTCAAATAATAAACTATTCTACTACATACATATGTATGTATGTATAAATCGACTGCAAAATTTCGGGTGCTGGTTTTGAAATTTTGTGACAAATACCTATACAATTGGAGATTTGCGAAACCGATATTTGAAAAAAAAACATTTACGATTTTGCTTATATTGGCTGCCTTCAGCATCAACAACAAAAACATTAGTATTGCTTCTTATCTTTTGAACAACAGATAGCGACCTTTGTAAACAAAAACACTGCCAGCTATAATCAGCACTTTGCAGACCACTGATAAAGATCAATGCGGTTTCGCCAATTCACAGGCGCCGATAACAGAGAAAGCATATTTTTATTGATTGCTTGCAAATTAAATTATTTTATTTTTTTATTTCTAATGATTTTGTGTATATACATACATATGGGGTGGTGATTAGGTATATGTACAAATTTGTATTTGGTATGCGCTCAATGTCAATTGGTATGCACTTGCATGCCTCATCACAAAAATCATTGCATAAACGATCGAACAACATTTTCGAGTGCAAATTCTCTATTTACAATAAACGATCTAGTCGTTTATGCACTTATTTACATACATASATACATATATAGAGAATATTGGTTTTGTAGTATGATCAGAGAAAACAATTTTTTTTTTTTACTCCTTTCCTTCGCTCAGATGAAATCGAAGTGATAAACGATCGCTCGGAAATTGAGTTAACAGGCGTACAGCAGTTGTAAGCAGGAGGCGCCACCTTAATTAAATAAAAAAAACACCAACAGTATGTAGTATATAAACACGACACAATAATAACACAAACATGTGAGCGCGTTATTTTTTCATTTAATTCCTTTTTTTTTTTTTTATTTAAAACGAAACTTTGCATTTGCCTTTTTGTTTGTTGCCTTTGTTGTTGTTGCTTTTAGGTGTCTAATTTAAATACGCAAATGACAAAAGCAACCAACGCGCAGCCAGTCAAGCCCGGCAAGTAGCCAAACAGTCAGTTGTGCATCGTACCCCTCTACCCCTTCCACCCAAAAGGTCGTTCAATCAAGCGCACAACAACAGAAATGACAATCAGCATACACATGTGGAAGGCACGCGACAGATGCCAGCCAACCAATCGACACTTAGCCTAAACAACAGCAACAACAATAACCAACGGTAGCTGTATTATTTGTGGGGTCTCTCATAAACACCTGTGTCATCTATAAGCTGTCACACTGAATCGCCAATGCGGTTTTAGCGTGCCCCTGTCAGACATATTAACTTCTAATTGAGGGGATCTCACAAAGCGAAAGTGTTAATAGTGCATTTTTGGGCTACAATTATTTTTGTATATACCTGTATTTCTTTTACTGTTTTGCATACTGCACATACCAACTATACATACATACATACAAGCCTATTTACGAGCAGTTCAAATCACGAATTCCATGCAAAAACGAATGAAGTCTCATTTTTATCACTACATATCGCACCTACAATGCTTATTTTGTTGTTCCTTAAGTAGTTGAGACCATGTATTATGAAATATTTAATTAATTTCTTTTAATGACAATAGAAAGTTTACGGTCTAGCCATTATTTTACGAAGCCAATATGGAAATTAATTTACGTAAGTAATTTGCCTTCATTGCGGCGCCATTTTTGGGTTAGCCACCTAGACGTGCTTAGAGATTTCAAAAACTCGTTATTTCACTTTTATTTTTGACGCCGACGCAAATTTTGAGCGTTCAAAACAAAAATAATAATTGAATAAAGAATGCAATTAAAACATCCAGATAGAGAAAAAACTTACACTTTTGATTTTATTATTTTCTCCGCGTCTATTAAATTATGGACAGAAAGTGGAAAATGATAAAAAATGGAAAATTATGGTAGTTTGAAATCAATCGCAAACGAAATAAAGAATAACAATCATTTAAGGAAAAATAATTTACTGATAATTTGAGGTCGCGAAAAGGAAGGGGTCGGCATGACTGATCTTTTGTGGGTATGGCTTGTCTCGATTTCCGACGAAACTACCAATCCTAAAGAAAAAGTTATATATAGCGAAATTGTAGTTAATAAATGTATAAACCACTTCAGTACATTATTTTTTACATAATTTGAAAATTTAAATTCTAATTTTAAAATGAAAAATTCATGAAACCAAATTTTTGGGTGTTTTATTTTTTCTTCTACAAAAAAACTTTTCTTTCACGAAATTTGGCGGAATTCTATTGCCCTAAACATATTGTATTTTTTTATTTAATTTATTTATGATATCTCCTTATATAGACCCAATATCGTAAAAACCTTAATTTTCTATCAAGAAATCTCAAGCCAAAATATCAAAAATTTGTTTAAAAGTCAGTAGGCTTAATGTTTGTTATATTATTTTTTGTTTTTGATTGATCTCAATCTACTATGAATTTCTTTTTTTTTCAAAAAATCGAAGACAGAGACGTTCTACTAACGCAGGTGACGAGTCATGGATCTTTGAGCATGATTCCGAGACAAAGAGGCAGTCTTCCGAGTGGCACATGCCGGCGTCTTAAACAAAGGGAGGAATGAGCAAATTCAAAGTGAAAACGATGCTTATTGTCTTTTTTGACATCAAAGGCATCGTCCACTATGAATTTGTTCCTCCTGGACAAACCGTCAACGTCAAGTTTTACGTGGAAGTCCTCAAGATACTCAAACGAAGGGTCAATTGGGTCCGACAAGACATCGAAGCCG